GACCCCCCCCAAAAAAAATTTTTTTTAAAAAAAGGTTATTGGACCAGAAACCATTTTCAGAGGTGAAAGTGGATTGAATCACAGAAGTCAAGAATGACAATCATTTCTGTCCCAACAGAGGCTTTTATTAAAGTCTGTCTTTGTTTTATCAGGGGCTTGAATTCAGGGCCTTGAGACTATTGACTTGCTTGTAACCGGTGCTATACCGCTTGAACCAGTGTATTGCTACTCACCTGGAGATGAAATCTCAGAGACTTTTCTACCCACGCTAGCAATGAACTGTTATCCTCTAGATCTCAGCTTCCTGAGTAGCTTGGATTACAAGCCTGAGCCACTTGTGCCTGCCTCTTTAGTTGAAGTTTAAGGGCTTGGAGTAGCAGATTCCTTTCTATGACCAGCCTGCAGTGAGTGATTGACGTAAGATGTGAAAACAGGCATCTCTGTGTAATCATCCATGATCACCTGACAAGAATCCACAAAGCTAGGTGTGGGTGGCTCACATCTGTAATAGCATCTGGCCTTCTTCCTGCTGGACAAAAGAGTTTCACAGGTGTTACACAGGGATGTGGGGCCAGAAAAGTTTAACTTGTAGTGTATAAGGAAACAAGCAGAGAGAGAGAGAGACAGAGAGACAGAGAGACAGAGACAGGGGGGAAAAATCAGAGGTAGGTGGCTCAAGCGTGTTAATCTAGTTACTTTGGAGACTGGGAACACAGGAGGATTGTGGTTTGAGGCCAGACCAAAAAGAAAAGTTTATGAGACTCTTTCTCAACCTATAACTTGGGACAGTGGTCCCTGCCTATCACCCCAAGTAACTTGGGAGGCTGAGATCCAGAGGATCACTGTCTCAGGCCAGCCTGGGAAGTCGAGAGACTGTTTTCATGGGGGAGAGCTAGCTTGGAAGCATATACCCAGCCACAACTGAAAGCTTAAAAGTAGGCGGATCAGGGCTCAGCTACCAGCTGGCATGCAAATAACTAGTTAAAAACACGGCTTGAGTGGGTGCTGGTGGATCACTCCTGTAATCCTGTCTATTCAGGAGGCTGATATCTGAGGAGCGCAGAAGCTGGTCTGGGCAGAAAAGTTCCAGTGAGACTCTTCTCTCCAATTACGCACTGAAAAACCAGAACTGGTGCTGTGGCTCAAGTGGTAGAACACTTGCCTTCCCTCTGAAGTAGCTCAGGGACAGCACCCAGACCCAGAGTTCAAGCCCCACAACAGAAAGGAAAGGAAAGGAGGAAGAAAGAAGGAAGGAAAAAAGGAAAGAAAGAAAAGAAAGAAAGGAGCGAAATAGTGGGGTGCTGGTGGCTCACACCTGTAATCCTAGCTACTCAGGAGGCCGAGATCTGAGGATCACCGTTCAAAGCCAGCCCGGGCAGGAAAGTCCGTGAGACTCCTATCTCCAATAAACCACTAGAAAACCGGAAGTGGCGCTGTGGCTCAAGCAGTAGAGTGCTCGCCTTGAGCTGAAGAGCTGAGGGACAGTGCCCAGGCCCAGAGTTCAGGCCCCATGACTGGAACCCCCCCCCAAAAAAAAGATGACTTTATTGGGGAAGTGGAAGCTGACCAGCCAGGGACGCAGCACAGACTCGGGAGCTAAACCTGCGACCCTGAACAGCCCACAAGCTAGGCTTTTATTAAAGGCAAAATCGATGTGGTCAAGCCTAGCCACATGCAGGTGGCCAATGGGATTGTAACACACACAAAAAGATTGCATATTTATGTCAGTGGCCAATGAGGTTACAGTCCGTCTCATAGTCATTGTTTGAACTAACCTATCATTTGGTTTGAATTGGCGTGTGAATTTGGGGTCCCCACACAAAGCAGGCGGATATTCTTACTCATGGGGGCTGCACATTCCAGAAACATAATGTCATATGCCCCTGCACCTTTGAAGCTGGGGGCTGTGACAAAGACAGCTACAGGAGATTTGCTACAAAGATAGCTACAGGAGGATGCACAACGGGGCACTGTATGAGATTTGAACTCAGGTTCCCTCCTTGGGCTTTCCCGCCGCGCGGGCCTGGGAAGCTGAGATCGCCCTGGCCTATCGCGCCCCCTGCTGGATAGGAACGGGATCGTCGAGGGCGCGGCTCCTTTAAGAGGAGCGGCCGGCGCTCGAAGAGGCCGGAAGAAGAATGTCACTCGTGGTTAGTTATAACCGGAAGCGGAAGTGGTGCTGGCTGGGCTGGTTACTGCAGACCGGCATCCAGGCGCGGGGAAACTGAGTCCCAGGTCGCTCCAGACCAGCAAGGCCTGGGCTTTTGTGGTCGGACAGAAGTCAGGTCACAGGCTGAGCGGGCCCAGAGGGGCACGGGCAACGGGGCCGCGGCGGCTGCGTACGAGTTTGCCAGGCGAGAGCAACCGCCCGGCCTGTGCTCCCTTCTCCCTCCTCCAGGATGGGCTCCAAAGCCAAGAAGCGTGTGGTGCTGCCCACCCGTCCGGCGCCCCCCACCATGGAGCAGATTCTGGAGGACGTGCGTGGGGCGCCGGCCCAGGACCCCATCTTCACGGCTCTGGCCTCAGAAGGTAGGGGGGCCAAGGCTGGGCTGGCAGAAGGGTCCTGACACTTCGACGCTGGTCCCCAGTATCAGATCTGATGAGGCCATGTCATTGGGACTCCCGACTCAAGGCTGGAACCTCGGAGCGACCCTTGGCCTCCCCCAGGCTCCCTTCTCCTGGTCTATACAGTGCACCTGGGGGGATCACTATCCTAGTTTCTCAGCTAGCTGAGATTGGGAGGATCACAGTTAGAGGCCAGCCTGAGCAAAAATAAGTCTGTGAAACTCCATCTCCAAAATCATCAGCAAAAGGCAAGGCTGGAGGTGTTTCCCAAGTGGTAGAGTGCCAGCCATAAGCAGGAAAACAGAGCAAGCAAGTGCGAGGCCCCTAGGATCAAGCTCTACTACCAGGGCCCATCCCTCGGGCAGTCTAAAACAGGGATGTGCAAGAATGGTGTTAGGAATAGTGTTTGTGGGGCTGGGAAGGTGGCTCAGTGGTACAGCGCTTGCCTTGCATGCATGAGGCCCTGGGTTCGATTCCTCAGTACCACATAAGCAGAAAAAGCCGGAAGTGGCGCTGTGGCTCAAGTGGTAGAGAACCAGCCTTGAGCAAAAAAGATCAGGGATAGTAGCACCCAGGCAGGGTTCAAGCTGTAGTATTAACACAAAGAAATCTTTGTTGGGGCTGGGAAGGTGGCTCAGTGGCAGAGCGCTTCCCTTGCATGCATGAAGCCCTGGGTTCGATTCCTCAGCACCACATAAGAAAAAAGCCGGAAGTGGCGCTGTGGCTCAAGTGGTAGAGCACTAGCCTTGAGCTGAAGAGCTGAGGGACAGCGCCCAGGCCCAGAGTTCA